GGGGCGGGGGTCGAAGGCGTTCTTCGAGGCGGCGTCGAGGAGGACCCTTAATCAGAGGGAGGAGAGAGGAAACGAGGACGAGGAGAGAGGAGGGAAAGGAGGAAACAAGGAGAACAAGAAGGAAATCAAGAGTGTCCCAGGACCCGCAAGACAGCCCGGGAGAAGCGCCCCCGCCCCCGCCCCCCCCCATCCCCCTTCCCGACATCAACCTCGCGCCGAGAAACTGTGCGAGACGAAGCGACCTCTCGGCTCAACCTCGGCTCGGTCTCCTCCGCGCGAGGGTCAATTAATGGTGGTCGTGGCGTTGACACGTGTGTGTGTGCCACAGTGAAGTGTTCCTGAACATGAACCGCACAAGGCAATCGAAGAGGCCGTACTTGCCAAGCACACGCATATGATGAGAGTGAGTGAGTGTGAGTGTGTGTGTGTGTGTGTGTGTGTGTGTGTGTGTTGTGTGTGTGTGTGTGTGTGTGTGTGTGTGTGTGACTCACTCACCCACTCACTCACTCACTCACTCACTCACTCACTCTCTCTCCCTCCCTCTCCTTCTCTTGTTGCCGCTTACAATTAATGTGATCGTGGGACTAAGGTAATGGCGTTTCCTTTGTCCTAAATCATATTTTCGAGGCCATTTCTTTAGTGAACCGTAAAAGTACGCTTTATAAATCCTCCTTAGGTACCGTTATGAAATAATGAAATATAGTAGTTATTTTGGTCTAACCTTCACTATATATTGACGCTGTGGATTCGCTTCTGATGCAGAAATTATCCATTTACTGTTCACATATCAGGCCTTCCTTGATTTTTTCGGGGGGGGGGGGATATAAATGACATGTGATGCTCTACAAAAGGGATATGTAGGGTCGGTGAATCCCAATATTTGTATGAAAATTGATATCGTATCTATATGGTGTAAGATTACAGAAATGCAATCAGAAGTCTAAAAGCATTCCGCCATTTTCGAAATAGCAGGTGGCATTATCGGGGTGTGCGTGTTCTTTAGCCAGACTTGTACGGAATTATTTAGACGTGTCACCAAAACAAAGCCTTGGTTCCAGGAAAGGCCGATTGCGCACCGAGGCCAAATTGCAACCATGCAACAGGCGAAAAAAAACAATGCAACAATAACAACAATAACACCACAGGATGCACTCAAGCTAGATCCCCTTGAGCCAAGCCCTTGTACTGATCATCCACGAGGCACAACTTAAAAAAAGAAAGAAAAAAAAATCTAGACGCTTGCACACAAAATGGACACTTGTTCGTCCTCAGTGACATTTTGCCTCCAGACTGACAGCGCGGCCGATACGATACCTTTCTCATTCCACGACAGCCCCATGTGGAGAGTCGCCATCTGGAGAGTCGCTACGTGGAAAGTTATCATGTGGAGAATCGCCATGCTGAGAGCAGGACATGAGCGGTCGTCAAGGTAAAATCGTTGGTGAAGATTCTTGTCGTATCGGTGCTGTCTGTCAGCCGTCATGGCGTATTGTGTGAAGAGCTCTTGTGTGCTGTATATTCATTACGGTACTCCTCGAGCGCAAGTACACCGGCAACGTTTAATATATGCATATAATAAATAAATAAATAAATAAATATATATATATATATATATATATATATATATATATATATATATATATATATATATATATATACGTTTGAATTCGTTTAAAACCTCTCGTTAGAATTCCTTTAAAACATCTCTCTCACTTTACCCGTGTTTATTCATTTAGGTTGTTATGTGCGTTATGATCAAGTGTGAATTCAGACGCAGATGTTATCGTGAAAACACACATTATTGTATCTATCTTTTTTCCGAGCCTTCAAAATAGAATTCTTGATCACATGACTCAAAATCCCGTTTCCTTTTCTCAAGGAGCAAGGAGCGGAGCATTCCTTCGAGTCTGTCATTTCATACGTTTTCCGAAAATAGTATAGGTATATTTGGGAAATCTTCTTCAACATCTATCTACGAAAACTCACAGTCTCTTCCTAATGACGACGAGGTTTCCGAACTGTTCTTTTTTTTTCTTCTTTTTATACTGTAAATCTAAAAGGGAAAATGTGAAGAAGAGAAAAAGATAAAACGCGTTGGCTAATGGCAATTTTTTAAAGAGCAACTGATTTCGGAACAAATGAGCGAGCTGCGCACTTTTCACCGGCGAGGAAATGGTAAAACATGCGTGATATGTGCCCTTTGTGTAGGCGGATTATTCAAATATTCATTGTACAAATTACATTTCCGCGAATTTCATTTCCGTCTCGCATTTGAAATATCTAAAAATAATCAGTTATAATGCTTGCTATTTTAATAGTTACTATTATGGTTATTACTATCGGATTTGACTGTGATGTTTATTATTATCATGGATATTACGGCAAGAATTATTAGAATTGTTTTTATTGTGATAGTTGTTACTAATATCATTTATCATTGTAGATCTTACCATTACGCCTATTACTTTAATTTTAAATGTAATTACCATCGTAAGTAATA